AAAATACCCCATACATGAGTGATTAGAATTGAAACAAGCAAGAACTAACCAACGAATGAACTCATTTGTGATTCGACCTCTAAAACAATTAACACCAAATTAACTAGACTTGTTACTAAACAAATTCAAACAAATTTAATAAAAAAAACTAATTAAACTGACTAAGTTAGTAGACCAACAACCAGAGAAGTGAAACAAATACTGAAAAAACAATAATCAAGAAAACTTATCGGCTCAACTGGACAACTTGGTACCCAAATTTTGTTTTCCGATTTCATCGCCAAATGATGTTAGTCACTTGTTCTTTGTTAAAAACAAATGATTAACACCATTTCGTGATGAAACCGACTCTAAAATTATCATTAATTCTCGAGTTTAGGTTTGACTTTAGAATTCGGACCCTTGGATTTAAGATTCGAGCATATTGTGCCTTATTCGAAGGAAACTGGTTATGGATTAGGAAAGAGGGAGTTGTGGTGGTCAAGGGGTGTTAGTTTGGGGTCGATTGGAGGTGGCGCCGCCACCGGAGAAAGTTAGGGCGGCGCTAGGGTTCATCCTTTGAATCGATATTCGAAAGGCTCCAGGGATGTTCGAAGGTAACGGGTTACGAATTTGGGAAGAGGGGAGTGAGGGGGTTCTACGGTGTAATTTTGGGGCTGGTTGGCCACCGTCCGCCGCCGTGGGCGATTTCCGACGGGCGGTGGTGTGTTGGTTGGTCTCTGAAGAGAGACTAGAGAGAGGGGGGTTCTGAGGGGTTTTGGTATGATTAAAACAGGTGATTTAATTTGAGCCGTTGGATGATTGAAATCCAACGGCTCCGATCAAAGCTTTTAAACAAAACGGGGTCGTTTTATTTGACTAGGGCTGGACCAGTTCAGGGGTAGGTCAGGGTCGGGTAATGAGGAAGGTTTTGGACCGGGCGATCAGGCTAATTCAACAATCTAGATTGAAACGCCTGAAACGACGTCGTTTGGTTGAGGCTGGAGACGGGTCGGGTTGAAGACGGGTCTGGGCTGGTTTGGGGTGGGTTTGGACAGGTTTTGTTTGGGCTTGGGGACCTTTTGGCCAAATTGGCCCAAAACTAGATTTTCTCTCTTATTTTCTTTTTCTTTTCAATTTTCTTTCTAATTTCATTTTCAAAAATTAAAACTTAAAAATCCTAAATTAAGCTATAAAAATCCAAATTATCTAAAAATACTAATTATCTCTAAATAATAATTATCTCACATAATTAATACCAAATTAAAAGAAAATCGCAAAATTTTGACATTAAACACTAAAATGCAAGAGTACGTTATTTTTGTGAATTTTTCATTTTTGTAAAACAACATTTTACTAAATTAACCAAAAAATGTAAAATCAAATCCTAAGTGCAGATGCTATATTTTTTGTATTTTTTAATACATTAATAAAATTAAATATGCTCACAAAGATTTGCAAACAATCAAGAAAATCGCACAGTAATTCCTAAAATAACACATAATTAAAGAAAAAACCTAATTTTGGGTATTCTTTTGGAGTAATTTATATGAGACAAAACATTACGTGCTCACATACTCTTCTTCTTCTTTTATTGTTTTATAACATTTAAGGATTTTTAATTTTAGGATATATGGTGTAAAGAGGCCACGTAGATAGGGGGAAGTGCAGCCAGTAGATATTTATTTACTTTTAATCCACTGTTTAAAATGTCTTTAGTCTTTAGCCATTGCTTTAATATACTCCGGACGAAAATACTCTTCTGCTTACAAAGTTCAGGACCAAGTGTCCTTAACTTATGAGTTTGTTACTGTAAGTTCAGGACTAGCTGTCCTTAATTTATGAGCTTGTAAGTCTAAGTTTAGAACTACCTGTCATTAACTTTTGAACTTGTAACTCTAAGTTCAGGACTACATGTCCTTAACTTTTGAACTTGAAATTCAAAGTTCAAGATTACCTGTCCTGAATTTCCATGCTTGTAACTCTAAGTTAATGACCAAATGTCCTTAATTTTTGAACTTCCAACTCTAAGTTTAGGACCAAGTGTCCTTAAACTATGAGCTTGTTACTGTAAGTTCAGGACTAGCTGTCCTTAATTTATGAGCTTGTAAGTCTAAGTTAAGAACTATCTTTCCCTAGTTTTTGAGCTTTTAACTCTAAGTTTCGGACGTCCTGTCCTTAACTTTTGAACTTGTAACTCTAAGTTCAGGACTACATGTCCTTATTTTTGAACTTGGAACTCTAAGTTCAGGACTACCTGTCCTTAATTTCTGTGCTTGTAACTCTAAATTAAGGATACGTGTCCTTAATTTTTGAACTATTCTTCTTCTAATTTGGAAGTCTTCTTCCCAAAAAATTTAGCAACATCTTCACACTTTAGCAGCTCCACTTAAATCTGGAACTCGTGTATCGAAATTGGAGTTTCACTAATTTTCCCAAGCTTGCTAGTTTCTAATTTCTATCTATCACTTTTTGCAATCTATCATAGTACGTTAATTCTAATCAACTTGTGTTACGTGTGTCCTGCTTTCTTTAACAGTTTTATTTTGATTGGGAGAAATGGTTTTGAAATTTTGATAGAGGGTTTGGGAAGGAAAAGAGATAGAAGAAAGGGTAACACCGTCTTTTCATATTAATTTTAATAGACTAGTGACTATTTTTGCTCAACATTAAAAATGCTGGATAAAAAGTAAATATCACTTTAAAAAGTGATTACCCCCACACAATTTTTACACGTAAATAGGTGTAAAAATTGCACGGCGCGCCCTATTTGGTCGCCCCTATTTAACATATATCCATTTTTTTAAAAAGTTTTAACTTGTACTCACTTTTTAAACAACTTCAGCTCCCTTTCTCCTCCTCCTTCTCCTCTTTCGTCTTCTTCTTCTTCTTCTTCTTCTTCTTCTTCTTCTTCTTCTTCTTCTTCTTCTTCTTCTGCTACTGTTGTTGGTGCTGCTGTTGGTGTTGCTAAATCAACTGCAATTTTTCAAAGTTTCTTATATACAGTTGCTTTTTTTTCTTCTTCTGAAGTTGTTCCTTGTATGATAAAACTGGAACCAGATATTTCTGTAATTGTAAACTTTCTGGCAGAACAAGATTTTATTTCAGCTTGGATAAGATCACTAGCACTTATATGTTCAGTAAAGACATAAACAAAGGATGAGTTATTTTATAGGCATAAATGCATATGGGAGTACGAGTTTCATTCCACTTGGATAATTTCCCAATAAAATTCTTATTTACATATCCAGAAGGTGGACGAATGGCAGTAGGTTCAATTTATAAGTTTGATTTAGCAGCACTATTTGTTGTAGGAATCGCTTTTAGGCAACTAATAAAGGCAGGAAGTTCATAGTCTTACAGTTAAACAAGACTACCTTCATCACTGTATGGTTGCATTCGGGCAAAACCATTCATATTGTGTAGATGGTGTCAATGCTAATTGAAAAAACTTTAGCTTTTAGTGCTGAAGTTTTTACAAATGAACTAAATAACTTCAACATTTTCTGCTGAAGTTTTTGAAAAAAAGCTTATCCAGTACAAAAAACTTTAGCTTATTTAGTGCTAAAATTTTTATAAATGAACTAAATAACTTCAACATTTTCTGCTGAAGTTTTGAAAAAACTTAATGACAAAATTAATGAATTCAGGACAAAAAAACTTCAGCTTATTTAGTGCAATTACAAACAAAAATTTCAGCAAATATAGAACAAAACTTCAGCTACTATGCTTAAGTTCAGCAATTACAAAAAAAAACTTCAGCAAATAGAAAATAAAACTTCAGCTACTATGCCTAAGTTCAGCAATTACAAACAAAAACTTCAGCACACTTGCTACTTCAGGCCCTTCTACTAGAATGCTGAAGTTTTGCGTGATTGCCTTTGCTACTTCAGCCATGTATGCTGAAATTATGCGAAAAAGTGGGTACGCTTGTAATTTTTTTTACAAAGCGGGCACAAGTTAAAACTTGACCCAAAAAGCGGGTATAGATGCAAATCCCCCTAAATAGGTATATATTTGCATCTATACCCGCTTTTTGTGTCACATTTTAACTTGTGCCCGCTTTGCAAAAAAAATTGCAAGCGTACCCGCTTTTTCGCATAATTTCAGCATACGGGGCTGAAGTAGCAAAGACAATCACGTAAAACTTCAGCATTCTAGTAGCAGAGCTTGAAGTTCAGCTCTAAAGCTGAAGTTTTTGTGTTGTAACTGGGAAACTTCAGCTCTAGAGCTGAAGTTGTTTTACCACCTATTAATATTACATACTAGAGCTGAAGTTTCCAGTTACAACACAAAACCTTCAGCTCTAGAGCTGAAGTTTTTCACTGTAACTGGGAACTTCAGCTCTAGAGCTGAAATTTTTCACTGTCCTACTTGGATTCAGAGCTGAAGTTTTTCACTGTCCTATTTGGATTCTTTTTCACTGTCCCCTGCATCATGTAAATCTGCTTTCTTTTATCGTTTCTTATCTGCTAAGTTTTATTTGGTATCTCCGCTTCTCGTGCATTGTGTTCTTTTGAAGTTTCCCCAGAAATATTTAGACTGATTGTGCCAATTAGAAAATGGTGTCTTTTGCTACTACGATGACTTTTTATAGACTTGCTGTCATTCCCTAGTCGTTTAATTGTACAACTCTTCCATTGTCACTTTTTTCCCACAACAGAAATCTCATCAAATTCGTTAACTTATACAAGTCCAACGACTTGAGTGGATTAATTGTTATCTACCCAAATGGAAGAGTCATTTGTCCCATCGTTATTTATAAATGTTAAAACATAACCTTGCTGTATTCTGGTGAGGTATTGAAGGGAAGGAGAAAGGGAGCTGAAGTTTTTTAAAAAGTGGATACAAGTTAAAAGTTTTAAAAAAAATGGGTATAGGTTAAATGAGGACGACCAAATAGGGCGTCCGTGCAATTTTTACGACGTAACTTCCCCTTCAATTAACAAGCCCAAATACCTTATAGTCTTTTATTTGGAATGGGCCGTGCCCCGTTAAACTTGCAATTCAGAAGCCCAAACAGCATTCCGGATTACGAATTCCTACACAAATCCCGAATGATTTCGGCCCTGCCGATCCCCAAGGGTAGGTCGATTTACTCCTTTCAATCGAGCTGCAACCACTTTCCGGCGATTTGCAGACGCTCCTCTAACCCTCTTTTCTACAGCAAACTCTTTCTCCGGCAAAATCAAACTGTAAGTTTCACTATCTGGGTCTCTAACTCCTTCCTTTTCTAGATTTCATACTTCTTCTTTCACTAGAAGATAAAAAGCCCTAATTTTTCTGTCAGTCATATTCACTGGTATCATTAGGTTTTGAGTTAATTAAAAACAAAACCCTATTTTGATGCCTATGCGAGATTCTTTAAACTATTGCATCTAATTTGCTCGCTTTAGTTAGTTATGTCTGTTAACAACAACAATAACCCTAACAAGAACATGGGAGGATCATCCTCCTTTGGCAATTCACCTCCTTCAAACCCAATTGCACACCTACAATCCCAATCACAACCCCAACAACAGATGCCCTCCGGGTTTCCCGGGTCATTTCAGTTATCTCAGCTCACTGCAGCTCATGCCCAAGCCATTGCTCAAGCACAGTCGAAAGTCCAAGCTCATGCTCAAGCTCAAGCACAAGCTGCCCATGCTCAATTCCAGGCTCAGTTACAAGCTCAGGGTCTGTCCCTTAACCAAGCCCATGCTCTTGGCAATTTTGGTTCTGCAAGTGCCTCCGCGAAACGCATGCCTCAGAAACCTCCGGTGCGCCCACCTGCATTCGCGGCTGCTAACACGATGTCCCCAATGAGAACTATGGAGCTTTCGTCTGCTGCGAGAAGGAAAAAGCAGAAGCTTCCCGAGAAGCACTTGCACGAGAAGGTGGCTGCGATTTTACCCGAATCTGCACTTTATACTCAGCTCCTTGAGTTTGAATCTCGGGTTGATTCTGCCTTAGCAAGAAAGAAAGTTGACATCCAGGAGGCTTTGAAGAATCCGCCTACTATTCAGAAGACGCTTCGTATATATGTATTCAATACTTTTGCTAATCAGATTCGTACTATTCCTAAGAAGCCGAATGCTGAACCGCCTTCGTGGACCCTTAAAATCGTAGGAAGGATTTTGGAGGAGGGAATGGATCCTGATCAAGCTGCCATGTTTCAGAAATCGAGCTCCATGTATCCAAAGTTTTCGACTTTCTTCAAAAGAGTCACCATTTCCTTGGACCAGAAACTGTATCCTGATAACCATATTATAATCTGGGATTCTGCGAGATCGCCTGCACCTCAGGATGGTTTCGAGGTCAAAAGAAAAGGAGAGCAAGAATTCACTGTTAATTTAAGACTAGAATTGAATTACATGCCTGAGAAATATAAACTTTCACCGGCTTTAACTGAAGTTCTTGGTATTGAGGTCGAGACTCGTGCAAGAATTATCTCTTCTATCTGGCATTATGTTAAGGCTCGAAAGTTGCAGAACCCTGACGATCCTTCTTACTTCAACTGTGATCCTCCTCTTCAGAAAGTGTTTGGGGAAGGAAAGGTTAAGTTCACTGCAGTCACACAAAAGATCACGCCCCATTTGTCTCCTCCACAACCCATACATTTGGAACACAGGATTAAACTTTCCGGAAATAATCCTGCTGGAACTGCGTGCTATGATGTATTGGTTGATGTGCCATTCCCTATCCAGAGGGAGCTGAATGCTCTGCTGGCCAATACGGAAAAGACCAAAGAGATTGAAGCTTGTGATGAAGCAATTTGTGGTGCCATAAGAAAGATCCATGAGCATCGGAGGAGAAGGGCTTTTTTTCTTGGCTTTAGTCAATCTCCTATTGAGTTTATTAATGCACTTCTAGAATCCCAGACCAAGGATCTGAAAGTTGTTGCTGGGGAGGCGAGTCGCAATGCTGAGAAAGAGCGACGGTCTCAGTTTTATAGCCAACCATGGTATTTAACTGCTACTAAATTTTACTTGCCATTACATTTTGGGTAAATTATATTCTTGAAGTGAAATTGCTTATTACCATCCGAAGTAGCTTAATATTTATAGTTTCAGTAATTTGGTAAAGTTACAACAATTCTCACCAAGATAAAAGTGTGTATAACATAAATAGATCCCCACAAATATTTATCTTCTTAATTGGCGTAAATTGACAGCTAGTAGAGTTTAGTTGCAATTACTTTGATCATTGTTACATGTGATTTTTTGACAGCTCATGTCTTTTTTGTTTTATTTCATTGCACTAACTCCGTTGTAGTTGCGTCCTTTTATTTTAAGAAAATTTTGTAACAAATGTTAACGAAAATTTTCTCGTACTTACTTCCGTTTAAGATATGGGCACAACACAAAAGGTTTATGGATGGATCACTTATAAAAGAAGTTAAAGATGCATTAAATTCTTAGTATCGCTCAAAATGAAACTTAGTACTGACTAAGCAAAGGAGGGTTTTCTCCAAGACAAGTTTAACCAAAAGGTACATTGTGTTTTTAAAACTAGGTAAGTGGTTGGTGTAATCATCAACTCTTTTATTCGAGATTTTGTGGACCTCATCACGATTGTTGGTAGCTTGTCTATAAGAGATATTTTTCCCTTATTAATGGTGCACTATTGTGCAATGTGATGTTTGGAGACATTAATGAGCATTATTTTTCATTGTCAGGGTTGAGGATGCTGTTATTCGCTACCTGAATCGCAAGCCAGCTTCTGATGCCCCTGGAAGCGGGTGAACTGAACTGTATTCTTCCCTAGTATCGGATTGTTTTTTGTGGAATTTGTGCAACATCCTAGCATTGTTTTCTCAAGAAGTTAAGAATGTAGGTTCTTGCAATATAGCGTGGGTTAGAGGGAAGAATCTTTGTGAAACAAGGAAAGACGTTGGCTGTTCAAGCGTCTTCCTGTGCTACAGATAGAAGTTCAGTGTTTGTAATTTTATTATTTTGGAAGAAAAAAGTTGTTGCTATGTGCAACAAAGCATGTAAAAGTGTAGGATATCTGGATGTTTTGAGATGTCTGATGATAGGAATTAGATTATTGTAGGACTTAGATGTTGGATGCTTTGGTATTCTGATGATGTAAAATTCTAGTATTCCAATTTCCAGCTTCCGATGTCACTGTATTTGTTGCTGCTCGTTTGTTATTCATCAGTCTCTTCTCCAGGAACACCTGACTTGATATTATTTGGGGTTGTTACTTAGATGTAAAAATGATATTTGATGTACTTAAGATATCTATTTCCAGTTAATCTTTCCGAGAGCTTTCGAAATGTTTCTAAAATCGACGTTTGACTATGCAAATTTTTCTGGACAAGTTTCCTTCGGTATTCTTTTCAAAAGAATTTGTGTTGAAAATTTATGAGAGGTGGAGTGGGAGAAAGTTATTTGGAGTTGAAAATTTTGAAGTTTCTAATCACTAACTATTTAAACAACAGACTTTATATTATGGATGTTGGAGTAAAATGAGTCCGACGGACTGGTACACATATAAAAGACTCACATAATCGAGTTAACTAGTTTGGAGTTGAAACTACTTGAATGATTTTAATTTAAGAAAATTTACAAAATTTTATATCTTTGTAAGTCTCTAGATCTATAAATTGTGATGAAACTAATTAGTTTAATCTGACTTAGCTCGAATAATTAGCAAATTAATACTAGTATGCAATAGTTTAAAGAAATGAGTTTTATGGAGATAATAAGTGATAGTTAATCCTACTATTAGTTTGGGTTAAATAACAAATCCTTATAAAAGGCAAAAAAGGAACCACTTTTCTGTCGACTCGTAGGTTTATTTAGAAAAGAGGTAATAGAAGTCTGCAGACGCAGCTTTAATTGGCGGTAGGGCTAGAAGCAACAGGCGCGAAGCTTCAGTCGGACTGTGGAGACCTAATTGTTCGATTTTCTTAGCACAACAAAAGCATGTAATTTCTTCTTCCTTAGCTAGAACACAGCTTACCATTTATGATTTATCTGTTAAAATTCAAAATCGTTTAATACTTTTGGCTGTGAATTGTAATGTTGTATATAATAATAGGAGGCATTCGGTTAATCGTCCACCAACACCGGATACACGGGATGATCAAGAAAAGGAGCCTACCCTTAATGAAATTATCAACATTAAGGTCAATTTTATCAAAATTTTCTTTTGGACACATCGTTTGCAGTTTTCCAGCTCTATAATTTCTGAATATTTGGTGAATTGCTTGTTTAGTTGATTGAGAGTGGGGAAAAGGAACGTTTGAAGGAGCTTTTGAGGGAAAGGCTTGTGGAATCTGGGTGGAAGGATGAAATGAAAGCTCTTTGTAGGTAATGTCTCTCTCCGACATTGTGTCAAACACTTGGAAGGATAAAATGTTGTTAGGAGAATGTGTTACATAGCTACTTTTTCAATACATGAGTGTTTAATTTGAACGACACAGAGAAGATTAGATGAGTTTTATTTGTTTCGTAGCAAGTACATCCTTGCCCTTTGCTACGATGAAACCTCAATTGAAAGTTAAGCGCTTTTCTTAGTTTGCTGTCAAGTGAAATAACTGCCTATTTGACAATCTTGGTCTGTTTATTTTGCTACCTATTTGACTATTTGACAATTGTGTACATCCATATCTTGCATCCTAGAGGGGCATGGTTTGATTCTTACCAGGCCTTTCTGTTCCGCTTTCCTCACCCCGGACCCTCTCCACCCCTGAAATGAAGGGGAAAAGATCCCAAATGGTGTTTGACAAGAATTTAAGGTAACTCAAGTCTTGAACAATGGAATTACTTACAAGTAGGGCGCTCCAACTGCCTCTTAACTCTTATAACTGATCGATTTCATCCTTTACACTTCGATTAATCCTTACCCATGGAAAATATAAGAAAAATACTATCTGCGCAGTCTTACACAGACCAACCATCCGCACACCGCCAACCCCCAACCCCAAAAAAAAGGACAAAAGAACTTTTTGCGCGTCCCTAGCTCTACCGGTGTCCACATCTCTCCCCAACTAGTCCTGATTCAACCAGTGAAAAGGAAAGGAAAGGAAAGGAAGAAACTCTATTATACTAAAAACCTCTCAAATCAGATCGCTACCTCTGATTATTTAAAGACTAATGAGCTTTTGTTTTGCAGTTCCAGAACCCCGACAAAAAAAATCACAAGATGGTTTTTCATTTAAGCAGACGCGCAGATTAAAAAGAACAAATTAATTGGAAAGAACAATGATTTCTAGAAATGACAGTCTTTCAGCATGTTGGTTAGTTGTAGTAATTACATAAATAGATTTGTGAAATGTTGATAGAAACAGTTGCAGTACAAGAATGATTGAACTTTGACACAAGCAGCAGTTTAGATTTTGAAAGGTAGGTTGGAGAGGGCAACTAGAAGAGGATGAGAAGGGATAGAGATGGAAGGGGGATGAGGGACCTAAAGCAAGTAAGAGAATTGAGATACATCACAGAAGAGGATGTATAAAAGAGGAGAAGAAGGGATTAGGGAGTTTGAAAGGAATTGTTAAAAGGTAAGGGGAGAGGTGAGGGTTGGGGTCTACTGGAGGTTAAACGATTGCAGAGTTGGTAGGTGAGGTTGTCAAATTAGGATGGGGAGGAGGGGGGCAGGGAGAGGGAGTAGCTGGGTATATGGGTGGGAAGGGGAGGAATGGTGGGGATGGGGATAGGGATAGGGTGGAGGAAACGAGCATGAAGAGAATAGGCAAAATAGGGCAGCAGCAAGCTTAGACTTGCTTAATTAGTACCGTAATTTTATTCTCCTTGAAGAATGGGAAAATACATACAATTTTATCCAAATTAACTACTTTAAGGTATGTTTTTCTTTAATTTTGTGGTATTTTGCGACCAAACTTAATTATTTGGTAATACTCTGTTTTATCTTTGAAATTTTCTAAGAACTATCAATTTTGAGGTGGTTGATTACTAATTACAGCCAACTTAGGGCACTTAATGTGGCAGAACTTGAGTGTAATACGTAGGGAACGTAGATTAGTTCAGTAACGAAAAGGTTTGTTTAGTTAGACGACATAAGAGAAGGGAGCTATGTGTAGCATTTGGAGGTACAGGGAAATTAAATGATTGATAAGAACCAAAAAATGTCTGTTTCTAGTTATCATTGATCTACGAGTTTTCCCTGTATTTTCTTTCATCACCTTGTTCAATATTAAGCCTTGATTGTAACAAGGTTGGGGTGGGGGTCTTCAAGAGCCAGTTTTATTTAAGTGGTTGAGGGTTATTGCACCTATTTCTCTCGCGCTTTCAGCTTTTAATATGCACTTAAATTGTTACTACCTCTGAAGGTACTTAAGAATACTATTCCAAGTTATTAGCTTATTTCTTTATCTTTTATGATCTTTGGGATGCTGGTCATGTGTTGTGTATATACAGCAAACGATTCTCAATTTGATGTGTAACCTTTGTCGCATTCATTCTCTCATCAATACTTTACTTTAGGGAATATGTCAAGAAGAAAGGACGGAACAATGTAACTGTCGACGACCTTGTACATGTGATTACCCCGAAAGGCAGAGGTAATGGTTCTGTCTTCTCTTTCACTTTTTCTCAGACACAACTCACACTTGAAGGAGGAATGGCTATAGCTTAAAATGTATTCCTTCTGATTATTTTTGTATCCTTTTAAGCAATAAAAGACATTGAAGTTGACATATTTCCTCGAGTACCGTTGGTTCATTTAAACATACGGCATTGGGAGATTAGATTTTCTGACCCGTCTCTTGTTCAGTTTCCCAGCTTCATGATTATTGGAATGTTTTAAATACTGCTTTTGCATTGCCTGCATTTGATAGAATATATGCATTGGCGTTAACTTTGTTAAAAAATTTCTGCTGCTTATTGAATTGCAGCTTCAATTCCTGATTCCATCAAAGCTGAGCTGCTACAGAGAATTCGTACATTTCTTGTTTCAGCCACTCTTTGATTCAACAGCTTCATATGCATGAAGAAGGTAGCAGTAAAGGTGAATATGTGGCATTATGTTTTGACTCATTCATCTTGGGGCGTTCCTGGTCTAGATTATGACAACTGTGGAGGAGCCATATGAGAAGATGTGTCATTGGCAGTTTGATTGTTCCAAGTTCAACCACTGCATCGCCTCTCACCTTTTAGTGTCTAAATTATTTGCTTTCTGACTGGTGCTGGTCTTTAAGAGTAGTTTTATTGCATTACCTGCGCAGCACAAACCCCCCATCTTTTTTCTCTTTTTTATTGTTGTATACTGGGGGTTGGTAAGAGCCAGTTGGATGTATGTTTTCTCTGGCTTTGTGTTAATTCTTACAAGAATAAAGATTTGGGTTCTCCATCTTAGTTTGCCTGTGTCTTGCGTCTGACCTCTGCAACCCCCTCAAGCGCCAAAGCATTGAGAGGTTTTAACATCCTGTAGGCCATGTCTAGGTAACAGGCAATTGATTGCTCCCTCTAATCCAATCATGTGGCTGAATTTGACTCGGGCATGTTTTTTAATAAACGCTTGCGAAAAAACTGACATGGAATTTCAGTGGGTATAAAAGGCGTGCTATTAACGTTGAAATGAGAAATTTAAAGGTTAAAATGTATCATTCTCTTAGGATGTGATTAGGTAGGAAATAGTATTACATAAAATAGAACATAACACTATTTTTATACTAAAGTGGTTTCTGTGCATCATCTGCGGTGGTAGTCGGGCATAACAGTTTCAATCCCTCGTCAACCTGATCCATCATTATTTCCTTTGATTAACGAGTTCTATCAGGGCTTCAATTACTCGGATCTGTGTTTCTGTGATAAATCAAAGGAGTGACGTCTTTGCTATGATCTTACTCCAGTTGTGGTCTGTAATTTGAAAGATAGTTCTAAAATAAGGATATACTTTGCTGGCACAGTTTCACCATTCAATTCAATACTCTTGTAACCTAAGAATTTGGTGGACAAGCCCACTGCAGGCAGAGTCGAAATGCAGATGTGAAATGACATTCAATATTGACCCATTACACGGCCATCATTACTTTTCAAGTTCATTGCAAATTTGCAAGATTACAAGACTAAATTTGGGAAGCTTCTATTCAAGCATCTCCAGAGAAAATCACACACTTAATTGGCTAAATTAGCCAACCCTAACCTCTCTCAGCCAGACTTAAATACCAAAGCTTGCGCTTTGGAAATTGGCGGAAAACACGTTCCAGACATAGTGAAAAGTGCCACAAAACAACATCATTCACATAGACTACCAGAGTTTATTTATGCTAATTAGTCCACGAACGCTGGCGCTTAGACACCAGATTTTTCACAGAGATCCAGCAAGTCCAAAGTCTGCAAAACAAATCAGGTGTTAGGCATCGTGACTCTCAACTCTTGCCATAGTACTTACATAAGGACTCAAAACTACGAAATAGGTTCTCATCTTACCTCGGGCACAGAGAGCTCAAGACGGAATTTGGGTCCATCATAATGATGCAAAACTGGTCTAAAAGCATCTTCCTCCAAAGGCTTACCTAGTTTCCTAACACGGATCCTCACCTAAATGTGAAGTACAGAAAACTCAAAATTAAAATAAATACTTCAAGAACCTAGAGGAAAATGAGCAGTAACTCATTACTTTACCTGAGCAGGGAACCTTGACTCTCCTTTACACTTTTTATCTTCCCAAGCAGTTGGATCAATGTTGGAACCTCCAAAACTTGCTGCCTGTCAAGAAAAATAGTAACAGAGATTGTTATAGTGGAGATTCATTGTGCTGCGGTTGACGCATGAACAAATACTCAAATTTGAATGATTGATACTTGTTCTGACATCTTTGTTTATTGCATAAAGCAACTAAGGCAGACCCTTTAGAGAGGCTATCTTGAAAAATGAAAAAGGAAGCTAGTAGTGCTCATCTTCAACAATTTATAGTACTTGGAACTAATTTTGACAAGGACGAGGCCGGTGAGTTAATACTCGGTGCAAAAGTAGTAGTATGAGGCTCTCACCAGTATAAGTGTGTGGCAACGCCTCAAACCCTAACCTTTGGAGATAACAAAGTCCTAACACTACAATTAACAGAAAAAAGAACTACAAAAGAATAGTTTTTCTCTGCTCTATGAAGAAAATTCTTATAATATCCACAGCAGCCATATGCATGTCCGAGGATGCTTTGGTTTTGCAATATCCTATGGGCTTTGACCACCCTTTAGTTATAAAGATGTGAACAGGCAGATGTTTTCATGTTTTCATGTTTTCAGAGCACACCGGCAAAAACAATTTTAGTTGGACAAACCTCAAAGGTGCCATACAACTGGTGAGTAGTGTAATTGTAGAGGAACAAGGGTAACCCTGGTGTTATTGCCCGCACAGAATCTCTGTACCTTGGAGGTAGACCTGCAAAAGAATGATTGGAGTTGAGATATGATAAAAATGAATATAATTCCAGCACCATATATTTATCAATGACTTCAACTTTCTTGTATTGGCACAAATTAATAGTATATAGTTTTAGGTTCTATAAAACAAGGATCTCAACTTTTTTCCCTCTCTCACAAGTGATTCAAACTCTCATCAGCCACAAACGGTGAAATGTTGCAGCAGCTAAAATGCACCTCTTTTTAGTTAAATCCATCTACCCATCCACCCAGGCTTTCACCTCCCGTGGTGGTGGTTGGGGCATTGACCCCTGCCTCGTATATTAATACTATTAACAAAAAGTTCAAAGGAGGGCGACATGAATCTAACCTCCAATGTTGGTTTAACTAGTCAACCAAGAAAAGGACATTCATTCTCTTAAAATGTGGTGTTACTTCATTATTTCAGTCACGCTGTTGATCAAACAGGTGAGCTTCAACATGCAGCTAAGATGTTTATAACCTAATGTATACATTACATAAATTCCACACTGTTTTATGCCAAACAAACACGTCTACTTAGTTGAAAGATTATTAAAAGCTAGACAGGAAAAATACCAAACAGCTGGCGCTTTAAGTCTTCCTGCATCGTGTCATTGTTGCAAACAAATATATACCCTCCAAGAACCTCATTCCTAGGTAGTGTCTCAGCAGCAGGCAAAGTCTTAAACCTTTTTTCAACAGCATTATTCCCATTGGTACTCTCACTATTGTTGATATTGCATTGTTCATTCATGGGGTTGCTGTTGAGCTTGCTAAAAGACATATTTCCCAAGTTGACATTGGGTTTCGGATAAACTGAATCGATGTTATAAACGGCATTCCTAACGGAACTCTTAGTCATAATTTCAGTCATCATGCTATCCAAATTTAACATGTTAAAGTTAAGGCTTTCACACTTGTTATACTCCTGATAACCAAGATAATCCCTGGGGCTAATTTCAGCTGATCCCTTCGAAAAGTCAAGGTTATTCCTCCGCTCACCCTTGGACTTTATCTGCTCCGCCAATTTTATAGCAGCCGTTGTCCATTTATGATCTTCCGACACTTTTGATTGGCCTCGAAGCTCATCCCCAAATTGCCAATAGCTGTGCATATTCTCCATGTTGCAGTTTGACTACTAAATTATACAGCTCGAGAATCTGCATAACACACATTTTAGCGGAGCCAAAAATCAGATGAAAAGCACAAATAAGTGAGTCCGTCATAAAATTTCACCCTATATTCTGGATATCACAGCAAAAGGAGTTAAAAGCAAAGCACTTCATAGTATAAGATACTACAGCTTTTACTGAACAAATACTACTTGAATTACAGTATGGATCAGCTAATAGTGACAACACAACAGTCAGCTTCAAAGTGTCAATATGGGGTGATTAGGAAGTTGGGAACAATAACCATAACAAGAAAAACTTAAAAATTTATGGTAAGTTTGTCAATAACAGCTTCTTAGGAGAAAAGTGAAAAAACTTAACCAAAGTTTTTAGCAACCAGTACAGAAAATAGTTGAAATCCAAATAAGAAACAATACTAAGTGTGATGAAATAAAGCCCAAACATGATCAGGTAGATAATTTAAGCAATATTGACCCAATGAATAAGAGATAAGATCATCAAATTGGAAATGCAGCAATATGCTGCTTAGTTTAAACTAACATAGAAGCAGCCAAGCATGTCAATAAATTTATTTAGCTAAAAATATGAAGAGCTTACTTGAAATTTGATCACCCAAAATATTCTTCAATCACAATAACCCTAGAATTTGGTATCCATAGCTAAAACATAAAGCTGCAAAGCAAATAAAAGTGAGAAGCTAGTACCAGTACCAGGTATTTTGAAACTTTACTTTACACCTAATACTTTAAGCTGGCAACACTTTATGTAACTTTAAATTACATTTCTGACATTAGATATTATTTCAAATTTTAAGGTGGAGCCTGTATGAATTGAATGATTAAGTCACGCGCTTTATGTGACGTGTGTTGTCAGTTTCAGTTGCTCGACGATCACTGGGTGGTAAAAGTAGTAATGCACGCGCTACCTGTGCGAATGTGTATGGATTTATAAGTGTGGTCAGACATCGGTGTCGATTTGAACAGAAAATGTAATTTAAAGGGCTGTCGGTTGAACAAGAAACACGGGCCACCAATCCCGTACTTGCTTTTGGGCCAGTTAAAGTTGTTACCTGACCCGACTGGAAATAGCCCAAATGCCACAGCCCTGGTCTGATCCATACAACCAGATATACATGATATCATTATCTGGAGAAGGGAGTTCGGATGAGCTTCATTCCGCCTCTAGCTCCATCCCTATCGCTCAATATTAAGAAAGAGTTTGTGAAAAGTTTGCAAATTGCACCATTATTAAGGTAATAACCTAGTGACCGGTAGATAATAATTTTAATTATAATGTTAAGAGCTTGACCCTCACATCCACGTTGAATATTTGCCTTTAAAATAAAATATCAGAATACTTGCAAATTGCAACTATATTTAAATTTAGTTTGAATTCTGATTCTTGTGCAGCAATTTTCAGACAAATCCCAATGTGCGGAGTGTTATACAATTCTGACAAAACCCACGCTGTATAGGACACCAGAATTAGAGTTTGGCTATGGTGTTTACGAAGTTTGGGGCCTCCATTTATTTTAAATAGCCATTATTAGAGATCGTGATTTTGCAAACTGCTTAATATATAGTATTGTATTTGATTTATGTCTGATTATTAGTTTTCTTTATCATTCTTGTACAGTAAGTAATATACTTCTTTAGTTCTTCGTTGGTGCGATCTTTTACTTACGTTAAAAATTTCACACTGAACCACAATATGAAAATATATTAATGCATAATTAACAGTGATATATTCTGAGATTTGATACAAATTACTTTTTTTTTGGTCGTCAATACAAATTACATTATACTCTTAAAGTAATAAAAGATACTTTGCATGCTAT